AATTTTAATTGATTGTATTTTATGTTATAATATATTTTTTACTTTAGATAGTCATCCAGAACAGCCTATAACACATCAAAATATATAGAAAATTCTCCGATTCACTTTTTCACATTATTCTTAACTTGATATCAGAGCTATTTTTGTCCAAGGAAGCTGCTATTGAGTCATATGGTATTATAGCAATGTTGCCACACCCGCGTGAGTATCCGTTCGTCACCAAACCACTGCCCTTGATTGTTGTTCAGATGATCTCGTTGCTAAATTCGAAAAACAAACAACATCATCAAACTCATTATCCTCAGACAAACAAGACCCTAAAAAATTGGTCACCAACAAATTCCGGAAGCCACCGCACATGCCACCACGCGCCGCCAAGGTCCACTGATGTCGTCGCCTGTAAGTGCCTTTCCATAGTCATTTTTTTTTTGGTCGAAATAGAGATATCATTTCATTAAACCCGGGCCCACCTACAAGAGTAAGGGGCATCAAAACACAGGATTTCCCAAAGAGGGGAAGGGGGGTTACAAACCCAGTTTCGGGGGAGGGTCTTACACCTTGACGCCTTTACAACCCAGTCTGCTAATCTATTTGAGTCACGGGTGCAAAGGACCAATTCTAAACTCTAAAAAAAAACCAAGAGGCCAATACAATCAGTGATAATTGGCTCAACATCCCAAGGACAGAGGGAAGAATCTCTCAAACAGCTTATCAACGTTGAACAGTCAGACTCCATCATTAGTTTTAAATGAGGCCGATCAGCAAAGTGTTTGAGGGCATAGAGACAGTAAGGGCTTCGGTTTGAAGGGGCGGAAGATGCTCGGACCGGTCGCGCAAGGCCTTCCATCAATCTTCCTTCGAATCGCGACATACGCATGCAATTGCCCCTTCCATGGTCCCTGAGAGGTGAGATCCATCGATGTTTATCTTCAGCAAACCAGGGTCTAGTGGTCTCCATCTCGGTTTTAAGTTCAGCGGTACTGCTTCACGCTTTAAGTTGCTTCTATTCCACTTCGCGTAATTACAATGCATGTCTAGAGCCGATTCAATTATGTTAATTGGGTCTGTCTGCTCATGATGGAATACTAGGGTATTACGCGCTAACCAGATTTTCCAGAGGGTGACTGCGATGATCTCGAAAGGTATGTTTTTCTGGGTCATATCATTGTAGTTTTGCAACCACTCCTCAAATCTAGTGACCCGTTGGTGAGAAAAGTGGATGTTGAAATAGGGATTTGACCAAACCTCGCTTTGTCTTGTCGCGAGAGAAGGAATAGATGCTCGACTGTCTCGGGCTTTTTTCGACACAATGGGCAAAAAGGTTCAGCTAATACTTTTCTCTTGAACAAGTTTACCCTTGTAGGTAATGCATCTTGGCAGACGCTCCACATGAAAAGTCTGACTTTTGGGAGTGTTTTTAGCCTCCAAATTTTGCTCCATAGATCGTTGGGTATTTGGTAGGAAGAAGAGGGCTGCCCAGAGCCATGTGTGTTCTCATTCTTTCGTAGCTCATTGTATCCGCTTTTGACAGAATAACAACCGGACATATTTGATGACCACACTAGCGAGTCTTCTTTCGGGGTAGATGGTAGTGGAATAGCTAGGATTTCATTCACAACTTCTTCATCGAATAAGTTGTGTAAAAGTTGCTCATTCCAGAGATGTTCCGTTGGGGCGATCAAATCTGCTACCATGTTGGGTTCATGTTGGTTTTTTGGTCCTCCTAATTCGCCCCTTTCTAGCCATCTATCTTCCCCGATTCTAATATGTTGCCCGTTACCCACTTTCCATCTCACCTCCTTCGAAATGGCATCTCTTCCCATAAGAAGGCTCACTGACCCACGATGGATGAGAACCCTTAACTGCATGCCAGAAATCGATGTTTGGAAAGTAACATCCTTTTAGAACTTTGCACCATAATGAATCTGAAGTTTGAGAGACTCTCCAAGCTTGTTTTCCTAGCATTGCTTTGTTAAATGTGATGAGGTCTTTGAAGCCCAAACCTCCTTTATCTTTCCTTTGCTTCAGTATCTCCCATCTTCTCCAATGAAGGCCGGCTTTTGATGCATGTGTTTTTCACCAGAATAAAGCTATCTTCCTCTCTATGGCCTTGCAAATGGACACTGGGATTTTGAAAATGGACATCGCATATTGTGGTAAAGCCTCGTACGACCGCTTTTATCAAGATTTCTTTACCCGCTTTGGAGATAAAACTTTCTTTCCACCCTTCCAACTTCATGTTTACTCTCGCCAAAATCCATGCGAACATCTGTTTTTTTGTTTGACCCCAATCGGAGGGGATTCCTAGGTACTTCCCCGTTTTGTCAATCTCCGGAACTCGCAATTCTTGGGCCATATTCCTTCTCAATTGATGCGGACATCCTGAACTGAAAAAAACTCCTGATTTGTTGAGGTTGATTGCCTGACCTGTTGCGAAGCAGTACTGATGTAGAATAGAGGATAAGTTCTGGCATTCACTAACCTTTCCATCCACAAAGAAAATAGAATCATCTGCAAAAAGTAGATGGGAAAGTGTCGGACAAAACCTGTTGAGCCTAATTCCTCTAACACTCTCATCATCCACAGCTTTCTTCATGAGCGAGGAGAGTACATTTGCAACAATTATGAATAAGTAAGGGGATAGAGGGTCTCCTTGCCGAAGACCTCTCGATGGCGCAAAGAAAGGAAGTGGTTCTCCGTTAAACTTGACACTAAGGGAGGTTGTAGTGACACATTGCATAATCCATGAAACCCATCTTAATCATGCATGCCTCAAGGAAGTCCCACTCAACCCGATCATAGGCTTTTTTCATGTCCAACTTGAGGATGGCTTGAAATTTCCTTTTCCTCTTCCTGATTCTTAGTTGATGTAGGACTTCTTGAACAACTAGGATATTATCCTGTATTTGTCTGCCGCTAACAAAAGCGCTTTGCTCCTCCGCTATCATATTAGGAAGCCAAGGTTTTAGGCGATTTGCCAAGACCTTGGAGATAATTTTGTAGCCGAAATTGCATAAGCTAATGGGCCTGAACTAATCTAGTGTTTCTGGGTTAGGCTTCTTAGGAATCAGAACAATATGGGTTTTGTTCAGGTTCGGGTCAAGATGGCCAGATTCAAAGAAAGTTCTCACCATAGTGAATACATCGTGTTGGATGATGTCCCAATGTTGTTGATAGAATAGCCCATTTAAACCATCTGGTCCCGGTGCTTTCTTTGCTCCCAACTGGAAAGTTGCTTCCTTTACCTCCTCCATTGATACACTTCTCAGTAGACTGCAATTCATTTGATCATCCACTAAGCTAGGACACTGTTCTAGTACTAGGTGAAAGTTTCTTGGGCCTTCACTTAAAGAACTGCTCCGTCATATCCTGTAGTTGCTTTGGGTCTCGACACCATTCCTCATCCGTTAATTTTAGCAAGGAGATCTTGTTTCTTTGTCTTCTTTGTACTGTGGTTGCGTGGAAAAACTTGGTGTTTTTGTCTCCCCATTGCAACCAACTTATCCTTGATCTCATTCCCCAAAATATTTCCTCTTGTCTCCCGAGTTCATCTATTTGCTGGTTCAAGAACTTCACCCTCTCTCTATTGTAGTGCACAATTGGAGCATTCGTGATCTCCTCTAGCTCCCATTTAAGAGATTCAATTTGGCGTTTCGCATTTGAGAACTTCTCTTTGCTCCATTTCGTTAAAGCTTCTGATACTCTTTGTAATTTCCTCAGGAGTTTCTCATTTTCCAATCCTGGTATGCTCCACATTGACTGAACAACTCTTCTACATTCTTCATCTTCTAGCCAGTATGCTTCAAACTTGAATTTCCTCTTCCTTTTTATGGTTGTTGCTGATAATGAAAGCAATAGGGGACTATGATCCGAGCCGACCGCAGGAAGGGCAAGAACTTGTGCATTTGGGTACATTACTCTCCACTCCACATTGGATAAAACTCTATCAAGTCGCTCTTTGATGTGTGCCTCCCCATCCCTATTGTTTGCCCATGTAAATGCGCAACCCTTGCTCTCTACATCCATAAAGGAACATCCACTAAGAAAGTCTCGAAATGCAGCTAACCTGTAATAATCCGCCCTACATCCTCCAACCTTTCCCACGGGTGCAAGATCTCATTGAAATCTCCCATACAAATCCACGGGAGATGGTTGGCTTGGCCGACTAGCTGTAATTTCCCCCAGAGTTGGAGCCTTTCTTGGTATACTGTTGTAGCGTGAACAAAAGTGACTCTCATATGGTGTTGGCTTCCTATTTCCAAGCAAATTAGGTCAATCAGCTCCGACGAGGCACTTACCACCTTTAACGAGACCAGATCAGTCCATAATACCGCTAACCCCCCTGCGATACCCGTTGGGTTTACCACTACACTAAACTGGAAACAAAGCTGTCTCTTCAGCCTCAAGATAATTTCTTCTTTGTTTTTTGTTTCCATCAAAAAAATGATGCTGGGCCTCTCACGTGCCACTAAGACACGCAGTTCCCGATTTGTCGGGGGATTGCCCAACCCCTGACAATTCCAACTTAAGATATTCATGGGACACCCGGTGGCGTATTAGGGCTAGCCACCAAAGCCCGTACTTGAGAATCAACCAGAACTTGGATAGGGGTATCTAAAAGTTGGGTTTCGTCCAAGACGGGAGCGATTACCTTCTGGGGAGAGTAAGGGCTATACCTTCTCTGGGTCTTCCTGCTTACCGATCTCTTTCCCTTACTCCTTGTCTTTTGATAACCAAGAGAGCTCCCTTCTGTCCCTAGGGTAGAGACTGGAGCTTTGATCAGCAATAACTGTTGCTGGAGACCTTCTCTAGAGCCACTAACACTTGCTCCTCTTTCTTACGGATTAAAACAGAGGACATCCCCGGCTTCTCTCCGTCGCCTTCTCACCACTTGGAATTAGTGGTCTCTTGCCTCTCGATTCAAAAGCCACCATCTGAAGTGAAGGGGATGGAGTTTCAGGGACGATGTCATCATCCATATCTACATTCCTAGGCCTAGCCTAAAAAGATTTCCAAAGGGGGCTCCACTCTCTCGATTCAGCACGAAGCCAAAGTCCAAAGCATCCGGGTTCGTCAGTTTCAAGCCTGTTCTCGTCGTAATGCTTGACTTCGCAGAACTTAGCATAGTGCCCTATACGACCACAAGCATAGCAGAAATGTGGTAACCTCTCGTATCGGAAGTCCACCCACAATTTCCTCCCTCCTTGGCTAGCTATCGTTCCGGGCTTCAAAGGGGCTGCTAAGTCGATTTTTACTTTGGCCTTACCATTTGAGAAGTTTGGTGAAGCCTTTGGGTCGGTCCTAACATCAGAAACACATCTAGCAGCTGCTGTGATTCTCCTGATGGATTCCTCCGAGGTCCAATTCAAAGGCAAACCGTGCACTTGGACCCAAAAATCACAGTGTGTGAATTCATAATTTGGGAGTGGGACATCCGGTATATACGTTTTGAGCACCACTAGGTTGTTAGAGAAAGACCAAGCTCCAGCCTCTAAGACCCTTTTCAACTCAAGCTCCGTTTTGAAAGTGAAAGCAAAAGTCCTTTGGTCTTCCTGAGTAATATTCACTGAGTCAACTCTCCACGCTTTCTTCATAGTGCTTTGGAAAGCTTGGAAGTTAATGGTCGGATTTGAGAACAGTTGGCCGAGCATAGTCAACCGGCATTCTTGTAGTCTCTCATTTGAAACCGCTCCATCGATTACTGCTAAGTCGCTTCCTGACCATAAAGTACCCAGTTTACTACATAGTGCAGCTAAGCGAGCCTCTGAAACTTCATCCTCCTCCATTGTAGTTCCAAATAAAGGATAGCTCTGAGCCGCACGGGCCAAAGGCAAAATAGAGCTCCTACGCCGAAGCACACCCCGATGCCGAGTGAAGAGGGAGCTTCAGAAATATGTTACCAAGAAAAAAACTCGCATACCCAATCAAGACTACTAGGCTTATTTGTAGCAAACATCTCCCCGTTTAGTAGTTAAAAACCATCGCAGAATAGGTGAAAGTCATCCATAAGCTTTTTCTCTCATTTAGTAATTTTATCGAGCAGTTACTAGGCATACTTCCTCCTGGGTTATCTCCAGCACCTTAGACAACTACCAACTCCTTTTTTCAGTAAGAAAAAACAGCATTGAGACACCCAAAGTACTATCCCAGCTCAGAATCCAACATGCTAAACGACGACCTTTCCATCGTGAGAGCCGAGGAAAGCATACCCGGAGCGAGGAGGCAAAGTCTAAAGCATAGACCAATCCATTGCAGCCAAGAGGACAGGGAGTGAGCAAGAAGACATGGGGGTGGATGGGAACCTCTTCAAGCGAGAGAAAAAGAGACCGGACAGGAATAACAGAGCCGGATTAACGGATCTTATGGAGCGATGAAGCCATGACCCACCAGGCGATCTTCCCAGATGACGGTCCAGACGAATCATAACTCAGCCATTGCCGAGGTTGGGGAGCTTCTAAGCTTCTTGATGAAAACGAAATCTTTGGAGACAGATAAAAAATTCCAATCCATTGCAGCCAAGAGGAGAGGAATGATCAGCGAAGGTGGTGCGGTAACAGAAATTAGGGTTTGGTGATGGGTAAAGGGAAAGGTATAACTACCCCTTGGGGTAGAGGGGAGCTCTTCAAGCGAGAGAGAAAAAGAGGAGACTCAGAGAGCTCCTCAGCTTTTTTTGTACACACTTGGATCAGCTTGTGCTGACACCTTTCCATAGTCATTAGTTGGCGATTTTCTACGACAAACACCAGAAATAGATTCCTCATCCTTCAACGAGCCCAACCCAGCAAATGCCGTCGCCGGAACCACTACCACGCGCCCTCATGCACTATCCAAGTCTTCTGCGCGTGAGATCACGCACCTGAGTGTCTCTTGTGTGACAACCTCCTGCGGCTTGCCGATGTCACTATGACATCATATTTAACGGCACATTCTAGTATAACTTCAAGAAGATTTTTAGTGGAATCCATCCGATAGACCGTTAGCTAAGAGAGTTGACATAAGCTTAAACTAAGCCAAATTACTTTAAACTTTGAGTGCACTATTCACTAATCCTGCTCATATTCATTACTACACTCCTAGATGTTATCGAAACCTCTTCATATCACTGCTTTTCTTTGTCACACCCATATTCACTCGACGTTCTAATTCCATATTTATTTGTTAAGTTCTTTAAAATCACCAATTCACCCTATTTAGGTGATATTGTTGGCCAATATCACAATCCAAATAGCATATAATGATTTTTTCCATGAGTGCACAAAGCATATTAAAATAGATTATCATTTCATACACTCCCACTTGCTTCATGGTTCTGTGGGTCTTGTCTCCACTTCATCAATTGATCCAATGGCGAAAAGATATCAACCATTAGGAAAATGTCAACTCGGTAAGTTTAAAACTTGAAAATCATCAAATATGTAATTCGGAGCATATCAGTCCCTTTCAACAATCAATATGGTGATAAATCAATTATATCACTCTACACCATCAACGCACGTGTCAATATCTATCAATTCAATCTTAACGCATCAAACTCGGGGCAATTAAGGTCACGAAAATCATCCTTCGCACTTTTCGTATGTCACAAAATTAATAATCCACCCGAGATTCCATGCGTGCCATCCAATACTCCCAGTTAATTAATGTTTAACTTTACATCCCAAATAATATTATTGAACCTAAAAAATTCCGAATGTCATAGAAGTAATTCATAAAATTTGGGAGATAAGCTTAGCAAAACTATTTTCCCCAAGAGAAAGGAAAGGAGGAAGAAAAACAAAAGTAAAACATCTAAGGGTGCGTTGGAGAGAGCATTCCCAAAGTCTTTTAGGCCTCTAAAGGTCTTTGTACCAAAGCTGAGGCATTAAGTGACACAACCGCAAAGGCCTCCAAGCCAAAGTTCAGCTTTGTAATTGCTAAAAAGCCCAATACAACTTGAGACTAGCATTGGCTTTCAACATTTCAAAATTGCTGCTTTCGAGGTTTAATGAATTTTTTTCCCAATCTTGCCTTCGTTAATATCTCTTATGCATGTGTTGCCCTCAGTTACAATCTCTCCCTCTCACAGGTACTATTTCACTCCATATCTGTTGTCAATCGCCAAGGGTCGCGTTGCCGGTCACGAGGCTTGTCAAGGCACTAGATCTCTCGTCGATGCTCACTATAGATCTATTCATCGCGAGGCTCACCGAGGTCGCACGATCCCAGTGTGGCCATGCCTAGGTGTCTCGACCTTGGAGCCCTTAGTTGGGCTCGCGACGGCCCTCGGTTGAGCTGGGTCGACCCTTAAGCAAGCTCATCCTAGCCTGTTTTTTTTTCTTTAAAATACTTTTTAGATCGAATATCAAAGTTTACAAAATGTGTTTACCTAGCACTATATGTGTAGTTCCAATCCGACGAGGGCAGAAAGTAGTCGTCATGACATGACGGCCTGGACAAGGAGCTGCTCTTGCCAAGCTTCTAGGATGGCAAAGGGGCGGGAATGAACCGAACTGTATACCGAACAAGGAGAGAGCGATTTTGGGATATATATATACATATGTAAAAGTTGGAATTTACTCACGGAGGCACATTTTGATGTAATGGCAAACTTTGCTTTAGAACTCCAAAGTTAAGCGTGTTCAGGCTAAAGCACTATTAGGATGGGTGACCTTGGAGAAAGATGCTAGCCTATACGCGAAAAGACAAAATCATGAGGCTCGATATGGGACGGGCCAAAGCGGACAATACCTTAGTTAGTTAATCCAAGGATGTCACAATATGATATCAGAGCGGGACCCCCTTCAATAGGTGTGTGGTTAGGGGACAAACCATGCGGAAGCTAGTGAGCTTATAACGACTTGGTCCGATGAGGGTGGAGAGTAGTCGCCGGGGCTAGAGGATCTGGACAAGGAGCAACTCCTAGTAGGTTTCTAGGATGGCAAAGAGGGCGGGAATGAACCAAACTGTACACTGATAAGAGATAGAGCATTTTTTAGATATATATGTGAAAACTGTAATTAACTTACTGAGACGCCTTTTAACGTAACAACGAGTTTTGCTTTGAAACTCCAAAGTTAAGTATGCTCAAATTATAGCACTATCAAGATAGGTAACCTCCAGTGAAGGTGTTCACCTGTATGTAAAAGAACAAAATCACGAGGCTCGGTATGGGTATGGGACAGGTAAAGAAGATAATATCTCAGTGAGTTAATTCAGGGATATCACAATATGCATTTGTGAAAACCATCTACTCTAAAAGTCTTTTGCATTTAAGCAAAAACTTTTCCCAAATGCGCGGTAGGTCATGTCTTGCCTCTTATGTTTGAAGTCAACAAAAACCGTTGTTTGCTTTGATAAATGACTCCTCTATCTCTTGCCTTCTTTTAAGCAAGTCAAATTTCATATCATCCACCCAACTGTTAAAAGTGTCCATTTGTAGGGCCAGGGACTATGGCTCTCTACAGAGACTATTTGCTTCACATGTGTTTGGTTTGGATCAGATTTATGTATTGCCCAAATTTATTGAAGCACGTAATTGCCGATAATTTAGACCATCATGTTCATGCGAAATCTTGTTACTTTTCAGATAAAGTATGCTGATAGTTTGAGTAGACAAGATAATTTTGTTGAACATCATTAAGTCTCTACTGATTGTTGAGTGCATGGGTGATTAAAGATCCTGCTACGTCATGTAACAGGATTGCAGATGGATAAGCTATATTTGTGTAGACTTACGTACATCTTGTTGTATTATTTTCCAATTTTCCTCCAGAAAAACAAATAATAAATATATCAAATAAGTAATTGTAACTTTATGGATGGAGGGGGTTATGCCTGTGCCGACGAATAGTTTTCAATCTTCGCCTGTACTACTACCTAATAATGGATTGATTTATATAGCTATTTCATTTAACTATAATGTAACCGCGTGATGCAGAATCTATTAGTGGTGCATTTCTGGACCGGTTGGATAGGCAGAAGTCCAAACGGAAGGCGAAACGGTGATGCGACTAGAACCGACGGACCCGGTTGATGACATCGGATCGAGTTCGAATTCGGTCGTTTGAAGTGAAACGGCAGTCTGAACACAACTCACTGCCTTTGGCTGTGACTAACGATGGATTTTAGCGATTCGAAATCGTTTACATGGGTTTTTGTATTATTTTAATTTTTTTATGGGTTTTAATTTTAAGGGCAGTTTTGTAATTTTGATATTTTATGCTTTATAGTCCTAGTAGGGTTTGATTTAGGGATATATAAGCTTGTTTTAGGGTTCTTTTTGAGAAAAACAGAACATTATCATCAATATTGAATTTCGGGATTTCTTTCTAAGCAAGATTTTGCTTGAATTACTTGCTGAACGCTGCGCCAGGTGGTATCAAAGCCTATGGCGACTGGCGGTGGTCTTCGTGACAATGATCAGGAGATTGGAGCCCCAATCCTTGGGGACGACGCGCTGCAACGTTTGGAGCAACGTTTAATGGAACGCTTGGATCAACGAATCGATCAAAGTCTTCATTGTTTCGAAGAACGATTTGACGAGTTAACATATCGATTCGAAAGTCTCGGCATTGATGTGAACCGGAATCGGCGAAATAGTAGAAGACCGGGTGCAGATCTTGCTCGTGGTGATCCTGTTGATAGGCCTATTCCTGTCCGCAGGCAGAATAACCCTCTATTTTCAGAGAGTTTGGAAGAAGAAGAAAACGATTATTTTGATGAGGAACGTGCTGATTATGGCGGCAGACATCGTCATGGAGGATTTCAAAGAGGATATGATAAGAGAGATGGAAGACGACGTTACGAC